ACGATGCCCGTACGAGGTCACGATATAGTGTCTCTCCTCCTCCGATATATAGTATTGCGTTTCTGGGTTATCGTCGAAGAAAAAATAAAATACAACGCACCAGATTAACGGAAGGAAACCGTGTATGTAAAAGACCGCCTCCCATCCGAGGGCGTGCAGTATCATTCCTGACGTCAGGATACCGATCACGGTGCCAATTGATAGGCCGGAATAAATAATACCGAACCATAAACTCTTCTCTTGGTAAACGATCCATTTCCCAACAAGGATAGAAACAATAGGAAGATTCGGTGCGCTCACAACACCCATCGCGAATCTCGTAAAGTAAAGTACCCACAACACCGGCGCCACTAATGGCACTATAATCGTAAGAATCGCGTTCCCCAATATGCAGATCAGCAGAACGTTCTTCGTGTTGAAACTGTAAGATATCGTAAATTGATATATAAATCTAAAGAAACGTAAAGAAATTTTCTTAGCGAAAGATTCGTTCAAGATGTAATTGAATTTTGAAATTCCATGAATACACAGGAATATATAATATCGAAATAATTTAAGGGTAATGTTTATTATAGAATACGATAATAAAATATTTTGTTGTGAAGAAAAACGTTATAACTTGAGAAATAAAGTCTCGAGACATTTAATGGAAATTTTCGAGTATAGCCATTTTATCGTATTCAACTATACTGGGTCATTTTTGATCCATTTTTCGAATTTGAATGAAAAATGACATACAAGCTTAACTTATTATATAAATTATTTTCGACTTTAACTTACCGATCCGCGAAATATCCGCATGGAAACATGCCTACTAAATAACCGACGAAATAAGAACTGACAACTAAACCTCGTTGCGTCGAAGTCCATTCGAAGGGACCCTCTATATCGATGGTAACGGCAACATCGTGGAAATCGCATTCGTCGGACGCGTCTGATATTTCATCTTTATGCTTCACCATGCCTACGACAGCTATGGCTATGTTCACCTTCAACCCGTAGACAATCATGTTCGCGATGCAGATCATTATGGCAAAGAAATATCTCACGTATCCCACTAGTTACAAGAAATATAAATTATATTAGAAATAATTAATTCCAAAAAATCATGGAAATGTCGTAAAAAATTTTTAATTTCTTCTAAGTATTTAGATTAGGTTAACCTTGATTTTATGCATCAGATACGAAAAAATTATCGTGAATATATTTAATATTTTGAAAATTTTCGCAAAGAATTTTACATTTGATAAATAGAAAAAGCATATTAACGGTAAATGCAAATATTTACATATGATTAATTCTTTTTGATTACT